TCTGTTGCAGGAGAAAAGAACTCTAGCTGTTCCTACCTCATGATCTCAGAGGCTGTTATCTGTCAACTTGTTCTTGGATCATCCTATTTTTGTGGAGAGTGATTGAACAAAATGTTCAAAAATGTAAAATGTAAAACCCTGAGCTGGTAACTCAAGGCACTTAAAAATTCGCAAGATTTCAGTTGTTTTTGTGTTGCTATTTCCTCTTCTATTCTGCTTTCTTAAACTAGCCAAAATAACCTTTTCAGCCAAAGTTGGACCTTGCTTTGTTGCATCACTGATACCAGACATTTCCAGTTAATCATGAGACGTGTGAAAACATGATGTTTGTCATCTGCCTGGGATTGCTGTTACATGTCACTGCTGCTGGCGTCCAATGAAAATGCAAAATCAAAATGAAATGTGTTTCTAGATACTTGTTCATGCAATCATGCTGCATGCACCATAAAAGTCCTACTTGTTAGCTTCCTTAAAATATCTAGAAATAAATATTTGTAGACTGTACAGGGAAGTTGCAAAGTTACGCTGACCAGCCTGTGCGAATGAAGATTCTTCCCCACTGCAGTGGCTGCCATATGGACAGAACTGGTGTTGAACAAATTTGAAACTGTTTGAAATATCTCTTAAAAATTAATTGAATAGCATCTGGTGTTAAAGATTAAAACATTCTGAATCCTGTAATATTTTGAAATACAACAGCACTGGTGTCAGTCCTACCATGAAGCTGGTACTTACTGTTTTGTAGGGTGGAAGAGACAGCAACAGAAATACATGAAAATTGCTTCACTTCAGCAAAATGTAGTGCTGCCTCTCAGACAGAATTGGAAGGTGACACAGAGGCCTTATGTCATGGTTTATCTCAAATGCAAAGGTGACAATATGCATCCAGCAACATCTTTGCTAGAGTTTGTTTCTTTTTGAGGGCAGCAAAAACAGCAGCACACAGGCAGTTACCTCTGCAAGAAGCCTCAGAATGAGCCCTCCAGCCCAAAACTGTGCCCGTGAAGAAACTCCATTTTCATCTCTTCTTCCCTTGAGCTGCACATGACCCCTCTTGATTTGTCTGGGTGTCTTACAGAGCTGCAGCCAACCTCATTTCCCTCTGCTGGAACCTGCCAGGAAACTTCTAGGCTCCCGTTCAGGTTGTAGGCACTCAGGTGGCTCCAGACGCTGCGCTCCCTCTTCTCCTTTTCGGACCCTGTGGTTATTACCTCACTGAACAAAAAGTCTTTCTAATCAGCCATGGTCCGCTCTGAAGGGGACTTGTGGGGGCAGTGGCACTCTCCCCTGTGCCAAGGGCGATTGACACCTGTGTGCTGTTCATCTGCTGCTTCAGGGATCCAACCAGAGCTCAGCAGGCATCAGGCTCCACCTCAACAAGGGCACGCTTTGTCCAGCTGAAGAAGGAATCATGAAACAATCCCCTTTGCTGACCCTTACATGTCCATACCCGTTGACTGTCTCTTTTCTGACAGCAGAGCAGTCAAAGTTGAGCTGGGAACAGTGTAAGCTCTGAGCCCTGGGACAAGGGCATGCCAAAAGGTGGAATTCCTGTCGTTGAATATGTAAGCCATATATGTGCTATGCATAAGTAGTATGCATAGTTTTAACTTAAGAAATGTTTGTGCATATAGGGTGTAAAAAATACATTTAAATTGTTTTGTGTATCTGGTCCAAGGCTTGTATTTAGCATGGACAAATTTCTGTACAGTGCCGTTAACGAATGAAATGTTAACAGATTAAATTGTATCATAGATGTTATAACGCAATCAATATTTTTTGCTAAGAGTTAAGAATTTATATATATTCTCTGCTGGTGTTTAAGCAAATTATAGTAGCCTGGACCGCTCTGTGCACCTTTGCATCCTTTTTTGGGAATGTTGGACTCTCTTTTTCCTTTGTAATAAAATGTAAACCATCTTACGGCTTCTTATTGTCCTTATGACAAGAGAAGAAATTTAATGGTCATATCAGACTTTTTTAAATTGTAAGTTGCCATATGCTGTGGCAGTGAAAAATCTTTTTGATTAAGATCTGAGAAGTCAGAAACTTATTTTAGATAAGTAGATCATCTAAAGTTCCCACCAAATTTGAAGAGAACAAAAGACAACTACTATCTCAAAACTGGGCCAGTTAGATACTTGCTACTGACTGTTTCAAATGATAATTTATGATTCACTGAGACTGAAAGTCTGAAGCAATCAGAATTTAATCTTTATATTGTACTTCCACTTTCAGACTTTCACCATAGTTGAACTTAAAGTTTTTTTCTGTGTCTCTGTCACGTTGACATTTATTACTCTGCAAAACTTTTCCCCTGGAAATACAAGCAGAAAATATAACAGGTTCTGCAGAGGACTTGAAGCACCCTGTGGGACTCTCGGTGTCCTGTTGTCACAGCGAGCACCAAGATCTCCCACTGCAGAAGCTAGAAGGAGCTCCTGGTCTCCCAGGAGGTGCTCATTGCCTGCAGATCTCATTCATTAGGATAGAAGAGTGATTTTTCTATAAATAATCCTATTTGCTCATTTGTATTCAGATTTTATCACTGTGGTAGATGTTACTGAAATACAAGAGGAGTCTTTAGTTTTTTGTTAATGCCAGCTGATTCTCTTTCTTTCTTCCTTCCTTTATTCTTAGCAAAATTTTGCCTGGACGTGACCCAAAGTTTGGTGTGTTGTTTGGATGAGGAGAAATTTTCTTTGATGGAAAAGACCAATAGAGCCAACACATGCTGGTTAAGGCTTTGGGCTGGGTGAAATTTGGGTTCATATGGGAGAAAGGCTTCTTGAGAGAGCCTTTCCCAGAACAGTGGGTTTATCTCTGAAACCTGTAAGGCTCTGCTACCAAAACACTGCATGGGGCCCTAAGAAATGGTGTTTGTATCTGCATCTCTCCCACAGCATTCTGGGCATGTACCCTGCATCGAGCACACTGACGAGCTGTAGCTATAAATGAGCCCTCAAGAGTTTTATTTTGTACTTTTATCTTGAGATATATGACAGATATATTATGTAATATTGTTATGGGTTATGATCTAGCCAGTATTTTTTTATTTAATTTTCAAGAAGGCAATCTACAACTGTGTGTTTTTATTCTGCTGTATTTGTCCATATTTCCTATGATGATATTCCCAAATAAACCTGATTTGAGGGCAAGGATTGTGAAGCTCCTGAGTGTTAGTTACAAATTGGATTTCCTGGAGCATTTTTGCTCCTTTGTGTATGACTGACTTTGAGAAGTGACAGTGTGTATATATGGTAATTTCCAACCCTTTCACCCATTTGGGAGACCACAATTTTTCCATTACTGTCCCAGTTGCCACACAAACTCACTCACACCCTCATAGCACATTTGAAAACAATTTTTTTTAAATGAGTCTTGCCCTTAGCCCTTATGGCTAAAATACCCCTCACATGAAGAAAAACATAACCAATAAAATATTTTTTACACAAAAAAATTCATACTGTAGTTGAAATTGAAGGAGCCACTGGTACTGTACTTGTTAGCAACAATTCTTCAGGAAGGGTCTGACTTTGAGAGATACCTTCATGGCATGGTGTAAATTTTACACTCCAAGTTCAGTGTAAATGGAATTAAAGAGGGCCCCTTACTACTTGGACTGAAAATGAATGGAAAGAATCCCATAGGCTCAAACATGTATCAAATCCTAACTAGGTACATGAGGAAAATAAATCAAGACAACTACTTTATACCACATTCTTTGCAGTTCCTCTTTTCCAGGTGCCATCTGAGCTATATGCACAAAGGGCCTTCTTGTAGAGATGCCAGAAGTCAAACAAGCCACTACTGTGATGAAAATACTTTCAAATTAACAAATGAAGATCACTAATGGTAAGTGTCTAAAATGTGTGTTTTGAACAGACTATACAGTTATTGTTTGAGAAAGAGGAAAATGTAAGTATGACTAACAATCTCCAGCAGCAGATTAGAGATTACTGTGTAGAGTAGTTTAGCAGAAAAATGGTTGTCTGAAAGGGGAGTACATCCCTTTAAAAGCATTTTTTAAAATTCATTTAAATTTGCATCCTTGGAAAACAGTATGGAAAAATGAGTGGAATTGAATTTAATGCTGTGAGTAAAAGAAATTGCCCTCTGTCAAACACTATGCAAACATTTAGGCCACTTCCCTGGAATAATTTTACTTTCCTGGTCATTAAAGTATTTAATGGGTCTCCAGAGACTCCTTTTCTATGTCCCAGGGCAAACATTCAAAAGTTTTATCAAACTGTGAATATCTCAGTTTTCCCCCGGGAACAAAGAAGAAAGTCATAACCATGTAGTTATAAATGGAAAAAATTTCTTATCAAAAATGGGGAAAAGTCTCTTATAAAACTTTTTGGATGAACTTTGCTGCAAAATACTTTATTTGTGCCTAGGCCAGTCCTTTGCTTGTGGTCTTTGAGTGGAGAATTGTTGGGGAACTTTACATTAGCTGAACTTGGACAGATAATATCTTAACAAAATCAGCTATTCTGAGATTACATTACACATCGTATATGAACTTTAAAGCTGTTGAGTTTTCTGCATTTGCGACATCCTGTATAGGTCATTATTACAAACCAGAAGTAACAAAGTTGTAGCCAAATAAGGGGTTAAAATATCACAAAGGTAGGTGCAATCTTGGCTTTAAGATGGAACAGTTAAGCAGAATAGAAGTTTCTTCACTTTTGTTTGGACTGTAGGTTTAAAGCTGTCTCATCACCACATAGGACCTAATGCTGGTTCACCTACAAGCAACACTCCTGAACCTGCAGGCAAGACTGTGGGACTTGTATCATAATACCATGAATAAACATCAAATCACATGAAAGTATTGGCTAATTATTTGTATAAAGCCTGATATGATTATCTCAATCAAAATTCAATGAGCCAAAGGGTCAAATTCACCTGTGATGCATTTCTATGAAATCCAAGAGAGATGGTGTCAATATACCAGAAATTAATTTGTTAATTGGATAGTAATTGGTTGTCTCTTGCTTTCTCTGTATTCAGCTGGCTCACAGATTTTGTTTTCTGCAGTGCGGGGTACGCTGAGGATCTAATGTCTCTTACAAAGCACATTTTTAACTTTAGGTCATCTTGAATTCTTGTGTTGAAATTGTGCTTCCTTATCTTTGAGGCTGCTCGACTTTGAGAGAGAACTGTATTTTTCTTGTCAGAAATGAGCATTCACCTTTATTGTCTGGGGTTCAGCAGTAATTCACAACTGGAAATAATGGCAGCATATTTGGGTCAAATATTTTAATACATGATGCATCTTTATTTTAGTGTTCCCACCTGGGCAGGACTCCTAATCTGCTAGGCACAAGGTGGTCTGGGATAGGGCAGAACTGTGACTGCAGCCAAAGTATCTCTGGAGGACATGTGTGTGGTTTCAAGTAAATAGTAGATACAGGACCATGACTACAGAGTTGATATTTCCAGTAAATTAGAGAATAAAAATGTCATGAGCAATTTAAATATTATTTATAGTTGACCTTCATGTCTGTTTTTAATATTCAATCTGCTGAGTGTTTAAAAAAGCAATTAAAAGTCCCATATAATGTTAAAACCCTTGATAAATGTAATAAACAAATGACATATTCAAAAGAGAGAATCTATGTCCCATTAGGAGAGAAAAAGAAAGATGAGAGCAACATATGGCAGTGTAATTAGAATGATTAGGGAAGCACATCAACAGAATTTATGCTGCAGGGAAAATGTAATAAGAAACCAACACACTTTCCTCACTGCCTTGAAAACTGCAAATATCGCTCTCTGAAAAGGAGAAGATGCAGAAAGGGTCCCTGGCATTTAAAGCTGTAACTTGTGTTCTTCTGCCATTATTAAAGATGCACACAGCCATCTGCAAACCATTTATTTTTTGCAGAGTTCACATTGTCCCATTGCTTTGATTAATAAGGAGCAATATTACACCTCAGCTGCTTTTCAGAAAGATGCTATTTTGGAAACCTAATTAATACTCATTCCACAGTTAGCTTGAGGTGTTCGTTAGTGCCAGATACTGAGTTCTTATTTGTTTCTCATTATGTGGAGAGTATTGCTTCTCAATGCCAGCGTTCTTGTTTTGCATTTTGGAATAACCTTTCGACACTCCTGCTTGCCACAGCCCTCCCTTCAGAAGAGCTAATAACACCTGTCATCATTATTTTCACATGCCTGTTAATGTCTGTTGAGGATGTTGTGGGCTATTTACATAGATAGGCTATCCTGCTGCACAGCAAATATTCCTGCTATTTTCTGAACAGTTGGGCCAAAGAGAAAAGCAAAATTTAGAAACTTGGAAACGCAATTAAAATCTCAGTTTACCACTAAGGGTCAGTATATACTAGGCAAATAAATCATTACAAAATTGAAAGTGTGGGTATGGCCTAGCAGAATACCAAATAATTTTTCTGCTCAAATCCCCCCGGATTATTTAATAAAAACCACAAAAAATCTACAGCAGTATATAGACACTGAACTTGTATAAACTGCATCAGCCCACTTTGATGAAACAGCCTGAGGTTTAGCAGAGGGTGCACAGATATCTTGCTTGAGATTTGCTCCCAGTGCTGCTATCCTCACAGGAGGATAAAGGAGAGAATAGGGCAAAGCAGACGGCATTTAGCATCAGCTCAGTTGCCAAGTATAATGCTGTGCATGAAAAGGTTAAATGTAATTGCACATGTCAGGAATCAACAGAACAACTGAGGCTCTTTCTGGAGCTCACTCTTGCTCTGAGCTGCTATAGAAAAAATAATAAAAAGAATGAAAAAAGAACATCTGTGGGCCTGGGTGCTAACATGGCTGCAATAGGAGAGGGAGAAAGGGGAGTTTGAGGGACAGCATGTTTTAAATGTGCCCTTACATTGTCCCCCCAGGGTTAGTGGACAGACAAAGCCTTATTTTCTGCAGGAATAAGGTCTCTCATGAAAAAAAAAACCAAAAAACAACAACTTGTCTCAAAAGAAAAGAAATGAGGAGGAGAGCCCTGCACCAAGCAGGACATTTTGTTGTACGGTGCCAGCTGTACAAAAGCAGACCTGCAGCCTGCACCAGCCCTGCTTGGGTCCCTCCCCAACCATCACAGCCTACCCAGGCCAGCTCTGGAGAGAGCCACCCAATGCTTCACCTCCTGGAGTAAAAGAAATGCTTTTTTTAAAGAGTGAAAACCACCACCAGGCTGGCCCTTGATGTTACAGGAAGCGCAGATGAGCTGGAGTCCCTTCCTTAGTGACTGCCTGGACCCTGGACACCACGAGAGGCCTTTGTCCAAGCACAGGCAACAGAACCTCTCCTGCAGCCCTGCCTCAGAGCCAGTGTTGGATGTGATACTTTTGATAAAATAACACCAACAGTGCAAGAACTAATGGTGATTTTTCAGTTTACATTACTGGGGAGAAATAATGGTGCTATGAGAAGACAATGGGCAAATCCTTGAACACTTTAGCAGAATTTATAACAATCTTAAAAAAAAAAAAAAGCAAGAAATCCAGTAATTAAATTGATACCAGGATAATAGAAGCTTTCCTGTACAGTCCACATCATATTTCCCCAAAGGTAAGTATGTTTCAGCCAAAATCTATGGTTTTTCTTAAGCAAAATTCTTCTCACTTCAGTGGAAACTATACTTTAGAAAGCATACTTTAGAATGCTTTAGAAAGAAGTTTTAAATCTTGACTCTTTATATCTACTTAAGTGTTATCTGATTTTGCGCCTGGAGAATAAACAACATATACCATTCTGAAAGTCAAATACAGTTCAAGCTAAATCTGGGTGGGGTTTTTCTCCCCTATTATTTATGAAGTGCAATTATACTCAAGTCCAACTGTCAACCTGAAACAGCAGGTTCAGTGATGAATTCTCCAAGCTCCTACCAGGTGCTTTGTGTGTTGCCTTTGAAATGCTGAGATCTCACAGTGTTCAATACCTTGTCCTGATATCCAGTGTTGTAAATCATGTCCATGCTTTCATTTGCTCACAGGTCCTAGACAGTTCTGATCTGCAGCCCGTGGGTACTAATAACCAGAAAAAGCCATTAATATCCAAAGTGCTTTATTAGCTAGCAGCACAGAGAGATGGTGTGAGGTTAAACAGCAATGGGGCAGCTTAGGAGCACTGTGGCAAAAAGCAATGTTGTGAAGAGCCTGGTGCTGTGAGCAAGCAAAGCCATGGCAGAGCTGGGACCAGAGCCCAGCTCCTCTTGCTGCCATTCCACACCTGACCTGGGGCCACTCAAACAGTTTCTGAAGGATCATTTCCTTATTTTTGTTGTTGGGGACATAAAAAGCTCTCAGTCCTGTAAGTCCTGTAGTGGCTCCTGTATAATTGCAGAGTCCTTCTTTAGTCCTTCTTGCACACCCTTGCTGAGCTGGAGTCGTGGATCCTGTCTGCAGTGTTTCTACAGAAAATGGAACCAAAGAGGGCAGGATGCAGAGATACAGAGAGAGGAAAAAAAGGGCTCTTAAATATAAAGAAACACTAGTGGACAGATCCTGTTCTCAGCAGGTCTTTGTGGAAGACCTCAGCTTGTGAAATCAGTCAAATCACCATGCAAGGCATAGACAAAAGGCTCTGTGTTTTCCTATATTTAATAGATTTTATTATTTTGTTTGTTTGTTGGTTTTTGTTTGTTTGGGGGTTTTTTTGCTAGCTCAGCCCTTTAAAAGAGATTTGCATCAGTGGAATGTTGAAGTGAAGACAAAACTTTTGTATCAAACAATTAATAAAAAATGACAGTGAATTCATTTAAAAATTTACCATTGATTGAAAAATCAAAATAATCTGTTAAGTGTGACTTTGAAGAAACATTTTTTTCCCTCCTCCACCTTATTCCATTTTATGCCATAGAGTTTTTTTGGTCCAAAAAATAAAAAGGATGGTATGACCCATTCAGCCAAAACCCTGGGACTCATTCCCAAGGTGAATTTGTGCAGCTTGTAGTGCTGTTGCTCATTGGCTCAGATTGAGCTATAGGCAGGGCAGGAAGGCTGTCACCTGTCCTGTTTTTCATATTATATATGAACATTTCATTTTATATGTTCATATGAACATTTCATTTTATATGAACATTTCTCTGTAGCAAGACAAACCTTCTGTACAACAATCTTGTCTAAATTAATGTATTATTTATTTTGTACCTTTTAAATCACTTTTATTTACAATAAGCCTCAGATACAGCTCACACGCAGCAGTTAAGCTCTGGCAGTACTGACGTCAGGGAGCCAACACATTTGCAAATTACATTTCTAAGTCATAGAAAATAAAAGAAAAAAATGACTTTAAAATAACAGTTTTGTCTCGGGGCAGAAGGGCCACAGGACACGTGTGCAGAGCCCCCGGTGGGGACAGGACACGGCGGGGCCGAGGGCAGGGCAGGGGCTCTGGGCTTGGGGCAGCTCCGTGCTGGCTAATGGCCCCACTCCTCTTCCCGCTCGCCAAGTCCCTCTTCTTCTTCTGGAAACACTGACTCAGTCTGACTCTTCAGATGCTTAATCCCTGAAAATATAGAAGTCATGGTTAAGGTTGTATTTGGCTTGCATCAGGTATTTTTTTTTTGTGGAGGAAGAAACAGAAAACCAAAATAAGGGCAAGTGTAATGCCCATATTTGCTCCTTTTTTCACAAACGTCTTAGTTCAATTCATATGATGGTGTATTTGCAGCAGAGGTATTCTCTTCCTTGAATAAAGGTTCTGAACAGTATTTGCTTCTTTTTTCTTTGGTAAGCCTTGGTCAAGTTTGTGTTGAACACGATTGCAAAGCTGTCCTGAGCCAAAGAGAGAGAGGCTCTGTCCTGACAGAGAGAAGACTGCTGGCACCAAAGCTGTGACCACACTGGATAATTTCTTACTTGGTGAATGTGTTCTTTTGACCTCCAAATACCATGAGGGGCTGGATGAAAAGGGTAAATACCTATCACAGGATATTTGGAAGTTCAAATATCCTGGTTTTGGTTATATTGAGTTTTTCATTTGAGGGAAGTTATAAAGTACGTACTGCTGGATGGTTTCAGCCAACAAATGAAATGGACTTTATGAAAATGAAGACAATTACAGATATTTCCCTGTCTCATGTTCAGTATAAGGAAGCAGACTTCAATGAATGGGCCTAAACCCATTTTAGCTCTGCCTTGGTGTGGTAGAATTCAAGCTGGAAAAGGAAGCAACATCAAGATAAAAAGATGGCAGAGAGACCAGACAGGAAGAGTTGCTGTTTTCAAAAAACCTAAACAGCAAATGTGCAAGATTAGTCTTGGGGTCTCCCAGTTTATGACAAAGTGGGAACATAACTATTGATCAAAAATGCATGATTTGAACAAATCGTAAGCCTGAATTACGCTATTTTCTGATGCCATTACTGTCATTGCATAAAATTATTTTTTATTTCATTAAAGATCATACTTAGCTCTAGTAACCATCTCTAACTGTTAGGAAAAATGTTTCCCTACCAGCTCTACTTCTAACAGGAGCCCATCACTCTCTGCTGGGCTCTGGGCTCCTCTCTCTCTTTTCTTCCATGCAAATGACAGCACACAGTCTCCTGGGAATCCGTTGTTCTGACATAAACCAAGCAAATACATTAATGCTCCAAAGCCACAGCTCTTGTGAGTGTGCCCTGCAATAAGCCAGCCATTTCCAATTAAGAACTGTGATACATGAAAGTGCTCAGCTACTACCAAGCTCTTAGCAGCTCCTCTTTAGCAACACCCTTTAGTAAGACAAACACTTTGTCACTACAGGTTACTGGACATTTGTTTCCAAATTATGTTGTGTTTTTAAGGTAAATTTGTCTGCTGTTTTTTCCTCTGCACTTACAGAGCCATTTCTTGCACAATCCACAGTACTCATCTAACAGCTGCTGTTCAGTACTTCTGTCAGGAATTGCTGGAGCCAGGGTGAATAATTTTTTTAGGGAGCTTTTCAAAGATGAGAAGGGCAGAGTTATGGACAGAAGAGAAGGTATGTCATACATGGTATGATGAAACCACGGAACTGTATTGTTTGTAGGAGTGAAGGCTTTTGGCTGTGTGGTTTAATTGCAATATTAAATATGAAAACTGTAGCAAATGGAGAGAAATTACATCACTGAGCATTACCCATTGGTTTTTGCATGGCAAGTAGCTATTGATCTTATTTAATGATTTTTTCATAAGCTCCATTCTGCAGCCTGCTTTCACCTCTGCCAGTCATTTTATGCTAGTGTACCTTGGAAGTTTCCTTCTCTGTCCAGTAAGTGCCCAAGACTTCATATACTTATATATAAGCCTCAAGATGTTCTCACAGCACCAGGTTGTCAGCATGAGCAACTTGGTGTGGCATTATGAAATAAGATGCTCATCTACAGAATGGAATAAATTAGTGTGAATTGACATAGAGGAAATGAAATTCCTGTCAGTAACATATGAACATGTATGACAGGAAATGCGGGTAACTGCCCTGAAAAGATACATTTCCTGCACAAAGCTGCAGACTTTTACAGTGCAAAAAATGGCCTGGAGTATTAAAAATAGTTAAATTCCAGCCATCATACTCCTGGATTAAAAGCATATCTAGCCACATAACACTGCAGGAGCCCTCAGCGGCTGCCAAGGTGGTGAGAAGGCAGTGGAGCTGGGCAGGTGCACCCTGGCACATTCAGCCACAGCTCCAGAGCACAGGCTGCCACAGGGGCTCTCCAGCGTGGCTCCAGTGGGGTTACTCAGGCTGTGCCCTGCCCTTTGTCAATATGAACACTGTGACAAGCAGGCAGTGAGGTGAAACCTCAGAGTGCATTGCTGGATCAGCTCAGCATCTTTGCTTAGCAATATCTGAATTGTTTGCTGAAAGGTTACATTCTGTCAGAGACAGTAAAAATTCATTACTCAGGTCATCTCAGCCGTTTTTACAGCCACAGCTATGGCAACACTAATTTATGAGAAAGGATATTTCCTTCTCATATTTCCAATCTTTGTACCAGTGACACAGCTCATGCCCTCAGCTTTCTCAGCTAGTAACCAAGAAGGACCAAAATGCTGTAGATTGGGGATTATTTCTGTTCACTGATTGATCACGGTGTAAAGATGGGCATGAAATACAGAATGTAAGATTTTACTTGTAGCAAAAAAGCAAAACAAAGCCAGGATATTTTAGAAGAAATTGTTTGTATCTAAGAGCACATCCCAGTTAGAAACATCAAGTTACTGATTCCACATAAACTGCACAAACTTTACAGTGTCAGTAGCAAACAGGGAGGACTGCAAATGCTGATCCATGGACTCACCCTGTCCCATCAATGTCCCCTTTTCCAGGCAGTGAATTTGTGGGCACTCAGTTTCCTGAAGAGCTGTGCCTGCCCTGTCCTGATGCTGCTCCGTTTCTCTCTGGGTGCCCTGCCCTGCTCTTCTTGGGGATGGGGCTCACAGGGTGCCACCCCTTCCACTGTCCCCATGGGCTCCCAATCCCCTCTGCACCTCACCCAGCCCCTGCTTCAGTGTCACACCCTGCCTGGGGCTCTGCTCTTCAGCTGGGATGTCTGGCAGCAAAAATCCCCTTCCAGACCAAACACTGCCCCTTCTCACCACTGCCTGAAAATGTTTCATACCCACAATGTCTTCACACTCATCCTTATGCTACTTTAAAGCAAAGTGTGTCTGAACACTGCTAAAGCCAGCAGGACAAGAATTGTTTTTCCTCAAAGGGTTTATGTTTCACTGCAGGTAATTCAATACAATTAATGTTGATAAACAAACCCATAATTCCAAACCAGATTGAGCAGCCATACACAAATATAATTTGAACTGTCGATTCTTTTTAGCTGAAGTCATTGTCTCAAAGAATATTTGTAGAATTCTAGATACTTATAAATTATGAATGGGAATGGGACAATTTTGTATCATTTTTGTAGTCACATCACATCCATGCTGCTTCATCAGCAGCTGTCTTTTAGCTTCTCTCCATCTAACCAAAGCACCAGCTTAGAAAGCTAAGCAGGGTCACAAGATTTGAAACAACCAAGTGTTCCTGAATTAAATATCTCCTGCAAAAAAAAATTTAAAAATATTCAAGTAATTAAGGCAGCTCCCTATCCTATTTAACACTTCTTCCTTCACTTTGCTTCACTGCCCAAGGAAGGGTGTTGACATTTACCAAACTCAGGATTGAAGTCTGGTTGGCAGTTGAATTCCCTAAAGTTTGAAGGGTTATTTAGTTTTACGATTTGGAGCTGATCCTCTCTCTATCAAAAACACATTTCCAGATTTGCAGAAAGCAGTGAAAGGCACAGATAAAACAGGCTCATTTTCAGCGTTTCAGAACTCAAATCACTGAAATAATCATGCAAACAGACCTGGCCAAAGAGGATCACAGCTAAATAAAAACATCTCAGCCAGTGATAAATTAATTGTTTTCTATTTTCCTTAGCAAAAATGAGAATATCAAAAGAAATATCATAGATTCATACCACTAAACAGGAAAAAGTATTATTTTTTTTAATGGTACATTCTGGTTTGCATTCACCAGTTAAATATGTTTAAATTATGTTTCTCTGATGTGTCTTCCTCATAATGTTTTTTTCCCAATTCAAGTTTTGATTTAAAATATGCCAACAAAACAAATGAACAAACAGACAGAAAACACAAAACCCAAACAAACAACAAAAACAACCAAACAGAAAAAAACCCTCTAATTAACATCACTAAATTCAGCATCCACCACAGGTCTTTGGCTGGGCTGGGTGCAAAGGAAAGCACTTGGGAAGAGCCAAATGAAGCTGGCAGGTCTTCCAGGGCATACATAGGGATGTCCCTGCAGTCACAGGAGAGAACAGCAGCTGCATCAGGTCAGGGACAACTTTGGGGCATCTAACAGCAGCCTGCCTGGACCAAGGAAAGTCACCCAGAAGATGAAGGTGTCTGGTTGTGAATTGTGAAAAGACTATTTTCTGACTGGATATAAGGAAGAAATTATTCCACTGAGTGTATTTAAGTACTGGTGTGAATTCACAGTGAAAATGTGATGTGTCTCTTCAAGATTTTCAGCACTGAACCAGACAAAGCACTGAACAACCTTGTTAAACTTGGTGCTAATTCTGCATTATGCATCAGGTTGAGCTGTGGACTTTCCCAAGGTTCCTTGCAACCTAAATGACTGGATGATTTTATGAAATCAAAACTCAGTAAATGCATCTTACAGTTTATAACAATGTATTAACATTAACTGCATGGGCTACACATTGATCCACTTGGGAGCTTCAAATGACTCCTTTCTCTGGAAAAGTGATGAAGTGTCTAAGTGCACCAGTCAGACTTATTTTAGGAATAAGATTCCTCTTCACTCCTTAAAACCATGGGGCCAGACTAAATCAATATTTCTGTGCTGATTTTGGAAAGCATACAAACTCGTAATTATGTGCTCCACTGTGATTATATATATATGTATGTGAGCTACATATGTGAGCTATATATGTATGTGAGCTATATTATATACACATGTATGTGAGCTACATATTTCTCAAACACAAG